TTGCTGTCATGTTAAGCTTATATTAAAGTTTTTCTTCATTACCCATTTAAGCCGTCTCCAGCCATTATTAGTCTCAAAGTGGGTTCCTCGTCATCGAATTTAATAATATAATATTTCTATGTCTAACCTATACTTTTATTTCTAAATTGTGTTGAACAGTATCAGTAATTGCTGCTACTCTTAGCCTACAGCTAGGTTAATCAAGGTAAACGTTTATATAGTATTAGTAATATTAGTTTACTAGTTCTAGTTAATTAATATGAACAATAATGTTTTCGAACTTAAATTTTTAACACTCCTACTGCACTGCTAGGCTTTATCTATTGAGTTGGCGTTAGTGCGAAGATCAATTTTATTTGATACATATGTCTATATTTAAAGAGTATTAAAACTTGAAGAGCAGTTTGACACATTACTCACACAGTATGACTCATTATGAGTGTATTACTATCATTATACTCAATTATTTTCAAATTGCAGGAAATCGGGCAAGGTTAACATGCTTATTTCAATAATATTAATTTTTACAGAAATGCAAATGTAAATGGAAAGAAAAAACCATTTTTTTGCCTATATGACCAATTTTGTTTGGATGTTTAGAAACTCATCCCCACAAGTTTAATATATATATATATACATTCAACATTTTCTTATCATTGAAGTTCTTGTGTTTTAGGGTGAAGTAATATGATTGAATTTCATGCATACAATGCATCTAAGCTATAATTTTTCCAAATTAATAAAAAATGTCTCGGTAGTTTTTTCTTTTTACTGGCTTCGAAAAGTTATCTTAAAAATATTTTATCATTTAATTAACCAATTTTATGAGTTTTAAAAACCAGTCATACATCAACAGTGTAATACACCAATTTATATGTTTAATAATTATAAGATTATTGCAATTCCAAGAGAAACAGATCTTTTATATGGTTTTGTCTTGATGTTTTTGTAGTAATTGCATTTTAAGAAAATGTGATATAAAATTATTTAAAAAAGAACTACAGAGAAGTTTTATCAATAGTTGAATAGATATTTAAAACTATCAAATGCACTGTTATTTTACACTAAGATATAAATTCTTCTCCTCATTAATCTAAATTTATAGAGATAATATAAGGACAACAAGTGACCTGTTGGTCTAGCTAGGGCCTTTAGGCCATTCCCTCCACTAAACTAAACCTTGGAATAAAAATGAAATACTCAGAACAAGCTCTTATTATTCAAATATTTATCAAGCCTTCTCTTAAACTTCCTTAGATTAACTGCATCTGCCACATCTGAAAGCAAAGCATTCCAAAGGCTTTGTTAGAAAAATAAAACTGTTTTAGGTGAAAAAATGATTATTTGCCAAAATTTATATTTGTATTCCCTAATCTTACCATTCTCACCATTAAGTATGAAAAAAAGATGATATATCATTATTATCAGTTCCCTTAACAACCTGAACACCATAGTCAGATCCTATTTACCTCTTCTTTCGTCAAGAGAAAACAATGTAGGAGGTCTTAACTTGACCTCATATTACAATCTTTCCACCAGGTGTCCTCTGAACCCTTTCCCAACAATTCAATGTTCTTTCTAGGTTGAGACACAGAAGACTGAACATAATTGTCCAAATGTGGCCTAAACCATGACTTGTACATTGATATTAGAGTCTCTTTAGACTACTTAATATAATATTTCATTGAAATTTAAAAAGAAAAACCTCACTACTGTGAAATTAGTTTTTAAGTTCTACTTTGTGGTATAATGTGCTGAATACTAATTTTGTCTGCCTTGTATTTTTTAAAGAACTTGGATTATTAAATAGCATAAACATCATGGTGTTCAGATTTGCCATGTTTGTATTCATAATTTGAAGTGGTCCTTTATAAAATTAGATTAGCTTGTTAATTCTTAATAATATTTGTTCTATAGCCTTATCTGCGACTTGCCTTTGATTCGTAAGCTACTAGTAAATTGGTTTGAGTTTTCAAAATTATCCAAGGAAATTTCTTAATATGACATCAAACTAGTTTTTTATATATAATATTTCAATAAAGTATGAGACAAGATTTAACATCAGGAAATTTTAATTAATCTTTAAATGCAGAAGCTAAAATATTTAACTTTATTGTAACATGATACATAATATATAAATTTTTTGTAAGGATAAAGAACTTTTATATGTATATGCAATGTTTAAAAATTACATTCCTGGCATGCTTGGGACATGTAAAAATTTCACCAAGGCATGTGAAAAAATATATTACATGAAAACATATCCTATTGGAAGACCTGTTTATCTTATACATTCTAGCACGTATTACTTACCTTCCCCCTTATCTCTTGATCTGGTTTTTCAAAATTGAACTCCCCCATTAATGGTTGGAAGTAAATACTTACTTAAAAGACACTGGAATTTTGCCCTGATGATGGTAACACATTTACCAAACTAGTTGACTGTAAGTTATATAAACAAAGTTACTGAACTACTATTTCAGAAACTTATGTCAATAACTTTGGTATCAAACTGTAGATTATTATTCCAATTTTAGTATTATACATTATTTAATTTCTCAATTTAAAATAAAATATTAAAAAAACACAGTTAAACATTGATTTGTGTGTGTGTCATGTGGTATGTTGAATGTGGCACTGGTTCAAATTAGATGTTTATGGTGTCAAAATACAAAGTCTATAGTTTCATTCAAATTAGGAACTCAAATACTGATATTGACAAGCTAGAATATAAAACAAGAACCTCATATCTTTTCTATTTGCTGAAATATCACTCATGTACTGAATCAAACACGGATGCCCGGCTCACCTCTTTCCATTTTTGGAAATGGTCCCTTATATATACTCACTTCAATATATGACATGTGAATAACCAATCAGAAGCACAGAATGTCTCCCTAGTGGCTTTCTCAGCCACTTCCATGTGTTAGGATGCCACCTTCTTTCGAACCAAAATTTCAAGGAGGTAGGTT